GAATTTGAGTAGGTGAGTGTGTGTATATATATATATATATATATATATGTCTGTGTGTGTGTGTGTGTGTGTGTGTGTGTGTGTGTGTGTGTGTGTGTGTTATGCGTGTGTGTACGCGTATATCTTTGTGAATGTGCCTATTTCTCACCGTCCCTTGAGGCCACATTCTAATATACTGGCAGTCCGAGAGGTTTTGCGACATTTTCACACACTCTCATTCTATTTCTTTTCTCTCTCTCTCTCTCTCTCTCTCTCTCTCTCTCTCTCTCTCTCTCTCTCTCTCTCTCTGTTTCCTTCCCTGTACCTTTTTCAATCTTTAACCCTCTACTCAATTTCTTTATTTATTCCTGTCACTTTCTCTCTCCATCTCTCTCTCTCTCTCTCTCTAACTCTCTATTTCTTTCTCTCGCTTTCTCTTTATTTCATTTTTTCCTTTTTCTTTCTTTCTCTCTTTCTTTTTTCTTACTTTTCTTCTTGCTATACTTCTCCTTTTATCTCTTTCTATCTGTCCCTATCTCGCTACACTCTCTCTCTCTCTCTCTCTCTTTCCCTCTCTCTCTCTTTTCTCTCTGTCTCTGTGACATACGGCACGTCCGGTCTTCCGGTCATTTTTTTTTATCATGGCCGCAACTGCTTCAATTGTTTACATTCAGTCGTAAGCCGAGAAAAAGTGACATAAAATCATCAAAATTAAAAGAAAAAAAATCGCTAAGAAAGAACAAAAGGACGTGACGAAAGTCTTCACAAAGACGACAAAAACTTTCGCTTCAGGATCAAAGATGGCGGAGGTCGTCCAGTTGATTGTTCTCTCAACGCTAGACGCGGATTTAGGCGCGTCTTAATGCTTATACGTTACGAATGAAGTTAGGCAATTAAGCTTATATTGATTGCTACATCTCGTCTACGCGCGCCTTCATCTAGGCATCTAGCAATAATGTATTTATTAAGTTTCAATTAGTCTGGCACAAGGCCACGTGTAGCTTACTTTGTGTATGACTTTCTTCAACGGTTACCTATGCCATCCTATTTCCGAATGTTATTCTATATTTTCTTTTTTCTTCCTTCAATGATTTAATTTTCTCTAAATACTTGCCTCAGCAAGTGTATATATATATATATATATATATATATATATATATATATATATATATATATATATATATATTATGAATGATTGCGCGTATGTGGGCACGTCTGCATAAAATGCTTGCTTGTACATTAATTTAGTGTTAATTCCTAATATTACATTTAATGGGTGTCTATCATGAGTGGTAAAGTGGGTGAGAAATTTTTGCCTTGATATTTTTCCAACAAAGGGGATAAAGGGCCACAAATGTAGAAATGTAAAACCCGGTGTAAAAAAAAACATTTGAACATTTGCTATGGGAATAGCAATAGAGTAGCGAGATTCTAGCAATGTTTATTTTCTGACGAAATTGGGGTTGTGGAGTGAAATGAAATTCATCACCCACAAGACCGTGTAAACGCTTTTTAAGTCCGTCAAAGTTGGAAAGTGATAATGAAGCAGAGCCTATGGTAGCAATATTCTTTTCTCATTAAGAACATTCACCTTTTCAATTTATGGTTTCTCTTTGGCATATTGCCTGTATCACCGTTCTTGTGATTTGGGGCCCTTATTAACTAAAATGTCACGAACCCCGATCATTTTAACATTCCGTATCATATCACAAACGAATCGAATTGTAAAAAAAATAAATGATGATAAGGGAGTGGGGGTCAAAAAATGCAGTGCGTCGCTCGCCGTCAGGCCAGATCTTTTTCTTCTTCTTCGGTCGCCTCAAGGAAATGGATTGCGTGGCTCACTTTCTCGGCCGTTACACTGGGCAGATGTGAAACAGACACCAAGTCAGCCGCACCTACTTCAACTTCCAATTTGTCTGTCTGTCTGTCTGTCTGTCAATCCGTACGTCCACCTCTAACACACGCAGTCCGCCGAATGACTTCTCTCTGCCCGTACTGCTGGTACCACGCTTATGCTATTCCAAGACGGCCAAAATTTTCATGTGTGCAAATCTCGTCTTGGACGAGATAGGCGCGCATAAATTGTGTCTTCAATAGCGGCCATATTTCTTTTTTGTCATCACTTTGCAGGCAAGACAAGTTCGCACTCGTCTCGGATTCCGAGGTAAGTCATGTCTTTCGTTACACGAATACACATAGAAATCATCATTCCTGTCTCTTCCCAGAAGCTCGTGTGTTGATGATAAGTAGAAAGATGCTGATGATATAGGTATTCACAGTTGAGATAAGAATGTTCTTGAACATAGTTCTTGAATAGATCAAAACTCTCTACCAAAGTGTCCCACGGAGTAGGGCTTACATTAAACCTAAGAAGCTGTGTGAAGTGGAACTTATTCTTTACTAATGGGATATGAAAGAAATGCAGATGAGTCGACTCAGTGTGTACTTGCCATGACGGGGCCTAAGAAGGCCTGAAAAGGTCTGAAAAGGTCTTCAGTGGTGTAGTTCGCCCGAACATCTACCATGAAAATAGCGGTAGAGTAACGAGACGCTATCAACATTTCGTCTGTGTGGTAGGAGTTGTAAGTTAGGAAACAATTCATCACTGACAAGGCTGAACAAATGCTTTTCAACTCGGTCAAGGCAGAGACGTTAACATTACGCAGCAACAACCTAGATGTCAAGTACAAGATTGTGTTAAACATTTGTTATACTCGCTTGTCAAAAATAAACCGATCGTCAGGTGTCCTATAGTTTGTTTTCTAATCTACCTATAGTATGAGTACTCAGTGAGAATTGAACTCGTAAAACATTCCAACCAGAGACCTCCAATTCGTTTCTGACCTTAAACACAAAGTACCTCGTCACTTTCAAGAAGTTGGCTACCTTCGTGTCCTTGTGATTGGCAGTTATAATCAGGGAGTGCCTTTTCATTTCTTGTGCCAGACTGGAAGCTGCCTGGCTAATGCCTTTGATGTATCTGATAAAGAAATGAGAATGTTAAAATTTAGCGCATTACGTTATGTCGTCTACCTTGTATAATCTTCTAAATGTGTGTTCTCATATACAAATATAACGTCATGATTTATGTCTTCAACCATTTTAGCTCCAAAGGTTATTTTTAAATGGATAGTAATTTTGTAACTGTATTTTATTACCGTCAGATTATTAATATAATCATACAGTAGGTAGGTAGGTAGGTAAGTAGGAAGGTAAAGAGAGAAGGATTTTTTAAAATAATTGTATAGATATATGTATGTAAATTATTGTTTACATTTGTCTTACATCATCATAATAGGTCCATGACTGAATGTGGCCATAAGGTTGCTTTACACCTGTTAACCGGATTAGTTCCCTCCATATATCTATGTAGCGTGCCAATGTCTGAATCTCTGTGGCTAATCTTCCAGACCACTCAGTGACATTATCAGCCTGTTTTTTCTTTTTATTTCCTTAAAGTGGGGAACTTGTCCGATGGTAATGGAAAGATTCTTGGCTCTTTTTGATGTGACCATACCAGTTGAAATTTCTCCCATTTGACAGTGCTAAATGAGGCCTTTCAATAGGCCTGTTTTTTGTTTGACGCTCTCTCGCACTGTGCCATCTATGATGCAATCTATACAGAACATAGCATCTGTAGCATTTCTAATGCTTGGATTCTTTGCTGTAGTTCTGCTGTTAATGTCCAAGATTCGCAGATGTACAAAAAGATTGAGGTCTGTGCATGCAAACAAGCTGATCTTTGATTTAAGGCACATATTCCAACCAGAGACCTCCAATTCGTTTCTGACCTTAAACACAAAGTACCTAGTCACTTTCAAAGAGATTTCCAGATAATTCTTAGCTTTGTAATAATGATTACTCAGATTTTACAAGCACGCAACACAGTCTTTACTATCAAAAGTCACCTTCACTTACGAGTAAAAGATGTTCGCACGTATTACGAGATATACGAAGTATGAAACGCTCACTTTTTTATGAGGCAAAATTGTCTTTCCCCTGTCAAAACTGACAATGGATATATCAAACTTTTAATCTCCCCGGTCTTTTGAACAGAAGTAGTAGGTTTATCCTTTGTTTCCTGTTTAGTATTGGACCTCTGGTCTAAAGTTTTCTCATTCTGTTCCACTCACAGTTTAGCACCTTGCATCTTAGTGGCGTTATCAACTTGATTAGTTTTAACTTATTATATATATATATAAAAAAATAAAAATCTTTTACTGGTGCTTGTTAAATTAATTACAGGGAATTGGTTTGTTCAAATGTTTACTGATTCCTCGTTTCGCTATCAAACATCGTCCTACATTCTTTCTTTCTTATTACTCTATCGGCCGTGCTCCTTCAGGACGTTAGAAATTATGACTCTTCACAAGCCTCGCATCACTTGTAACCCTTAGCAAAGTTTATCACTTTTCCATCCTCCCCGATCACAGTTCCGCGATCCATTTAAACAAACTGGTCAGGGAGGTGGCTCGCTGTCTTTCCCTGTCTTGTTTGCATTCGATATGCCCTGCGCGTTTCAAATTCTCCAAGCCCTCGTTTCTCATTAGGTGTCCATTAGGTCTCTTTCTAATTCTGGGTATCAGAGCATTTTTTATTCCTAATTTGCTTACTTGATTACATGAAATTCTCAGTATCCTTCTGTAGAACCACATTTCTGTCGCTTCCAGTTTTCTATTCATCTGTGAGATTTTATGCGGTATGTTAGCGACCAGATTGATTGATTGATTGATAGATCGACACGTTTTTTTTATGATTTATCAAACTTTTGCAGGTTTATTTAAAGACAGAAAATAGTTTTAGATTGTAATAATATTTTGGAAATAATTATTTATTGATACAAGTCCTACTAATCTAATTAATCAATAGCTAAGTGGGAGAACAAGTGGATTCATACCTTTTCCGAGGCTATTTGTGCGTGAGTGAATATAACAAACCCAACGGGAATTCGAACTCGGCTCTCCGATTTTCCAATTCCGAGCCGTTATCCATTACACAACCCGCACAACGTAGCTTAGAGCACTTGGTATTCCCAAGCGGCTAACCATTTAGATACTGACATGGTTCGACGTTGCTTAACTTTGGTGATCGTACGAGGACCGGTGTTTCCAACTGATATGGCCGCAAGCTTTTGATATTGGATGTCTCACGATTAAGGCCTTGTGCCAGGCTATGGTGAGCTTAGTACATAACTGCATAAATTATAGTCGAATTATACTAAACGCATCGGTTCTTGTCAGAATACCTATGTAAGCAGCCTGAGACCTGGTCTGTTCCCAGGTCTACCCTGACACAAGGTGCCAGCTTCTCGCCTACTCTATCATGGAAAAATGGTTATGTAACAAGTATGTTGCACTCGGTTAGTTTCTTCCCAAGAATTCGGTCCTCCTCGGTATGACGATAAAGTTACATCCTAAGGCAAAGGCATCGGGAGATTGGATGTTCTGAGAAACGTGGAACCGCCTTTTAATTACGGTTGTTCCCAGGTCCACGCTGACCCGGGGTGGTAGCACCTGTTAGGGTCCCACCGATGGGCAAATAGTGAACCTTTAAACAAAAACCAAATACTATGAAAGTATTAAAAACATTTTTATAGTAAAAATACCAGTATATACGTTTATATAAAAAATTACCTCAGTTCACATTAAAAATTTCCAAAATACTTACATTTATGTGTAACTGTACATGCTCCATTCGAATCTGGCTTGATAAGTTTGATAAAATCTACCGTTTTGGAATTATCAACAGTAAAATTTGGGATTCACTCGCGTCATTGGCGGCCGCCATTACTCGCGTTGTTTGCATACATTCGCTGCATAATAGCTAAATGCGGAAGACTACGGAAAACTAAGCTCGAAACTGATCTTTCTTGTCTAAATTTGTCCAATTACTACACACGTGAACTATTTACGGAGACACGATCAGTTTGCGCAATGATACCTATACTGATAGCTACTCTGCAGCGAATGTATACAAACAACGCAAGTAATGGCTGCCCGCGACGCGAATAAATCCAAATTTTCACTGTCGATAACTCCAAAACGGTAAATTGTATCAAATTTATCAAGCCAGATTCGAACGGAGCATGTACAATTACACATAAATGTAAGAATTCTGGAAATCTTTAATGCAAACTGAGTGCGGGTGTTACACTGCAAATTAACCAGATTTTATAGCAAAATGACCAGTAATACATTTTATAGTAAAATTTCCAACAATATATTTTATCTAAAGAAAGTTGAAGGCATACAATTGCATTCAAAATGTATTTAGTTGAAGCCATAAAATTATGTTCAATTTTTTTAGATTTTGGCATTACATAACCCATGGAGATGTTGATATGCTTCTAACAGAATCAAACAACCAATTAAACCTGGTCAGTACTACGGGCTGCCACATAAAAACAGGAAATTTTAAATTTACTATATGATAAAATAAACTAACTAACATATAAAACAAATTAACTAAATATTTTACTATATGAACAAACTAGAAAAAAATTAACTAAGATATCAATTTTTTAACCATTTGTTGCCAACGGTTTCGATTTGAGGTCATTGTTCTTTTTAAAAAAAGAATATTCAACTTGGTTCTTTAGTTTGAACACCACATCTTCTTATATTTGCGTTTTAGTTCTGTTTTAAGCTACATAATTTCTATCTTTTGTTTTTGTTTCAAATAACTGTAACTAAAATTCCAACAATTAAATAAACCAAATTTTCTAGTTTTTTTTTGTTTGTTTGTTTTTCGTTTTATTTTTTGTGGAGGCATCCTGTAGTATAGGTGACCGTTGAAGAAAACCATGTAAAAAGTTACGCATGGCCTCGTGCCAGCCTAAGGGAAATTTAAGAAATAGATTACTGCGTGATACCCAGATGGAGACGTGCGTAGACGAGACCTAGCAATCAACATAAGCGTAATTCCTTTTCGTAACCTCTAAGCATCGCACGAGAACTGGCAATCGTACGAGATCTAGTGGTTCAACGTGACAATTAGCAACCAGATGTTATTGTGACGATATATTTCGAAAATAGCACAGACACGGGAAGAAGTGTATCCATGGCTTAGCCATGGGCATTAATGTTACAAAAGCTTAATTTCGGAAAATTGGATAGGAATGAATGCAAGATCGCATCAATTTTCCTAGACTTAACTGTAGAATTTGTGTTTCTACTTGACAGGTTTGGAAAGTTTCGTTTTCCTCAAGATACTGTCAAAAAAGAGAGATTCAGACACTAAGCTAACAGACACTTTGCCTGGGTCCCGTTTGTAATCAGAGATCATGGCATATCGAATAAAGGAAATGCTGTCGGCCAGCGAGTAGGATGTCGGCTAGCATCGGCGACACTGACAACTGCCATGCTGTTTTTAACCTTCTCTCCCACACACACACACACACACACACACACACACACACACACTCTCTCTCTCTCTCTCTCTCTCTCTCTCTCTCTCTCTCCTTTTTTTCTGGAATTTCCGACTATCAGATTGGATAGACCGGACCTTTCTGAGGTTAAACATTTGAAATATTTAGCGGGGTGCGTATATGATACGGGTATTTGCTGTCTGGGGGTAAGGGGCTCGGATCGAGATCTTTTGAGTTGAGACGTGATAAACTGTAGTCGGCCGTGTTCTGCATTTTCTGAATGAAATCTCGAACTGATAGGTGCGTGCAAAAGCGAGATGACAAAAAATTGGAGAAAGAAAGAAAGAAAGAAAGAAAGAAAGAAAGAAAGAACTGTTAACGGTTGGCAAATATCCCAATTTCCTGATTTTGAAAATGAATAAAAAGAAAATATTGGTGTGTGTGAGAAGTAATTTTTGTATATATATATATATATATATATACATGTGTGTGTGTGTGTGTGTGTGTGTGCATATATGTGTGTGTGTTTATTTGAATTTGAACACTTACAACTACATTTATTTATATTTATCCATTTAAGTATACTCATATATATATATATATATATATATATATATATATATATATAAAATATATATATATATAAAAAATATTTATTAACAATTATAACAGAAACATGTTATAAACCGCTACACAAATGCAATCATGTTTCGACACTCTGTGTGCCTCCTCAGGCGGCTTTGCTAAACTAGAGAACAGACGACCATTTTATGGTTTAAAAGTAGCAATATCATCAACGAGGAGGGTTGGAAATATCAAGTCAATCATGAATCGAAAAGGGACACGATCACCCCGGTATGCACCATTCATCGCACTCAATGAGGGAAGCAAGTATTCAAGTTGATACTGTTAAAGGGAGAAAGGAGATTCGATTGATAACGTTGAGTTCGTAATAAAAGTGTTGAATGGAGTTCTTCTCAAAGGACACCAATTGAAACACGTGTACCCAGTAAAAATAAGATTTATAATAAGAAGAAAAAATCTTGGATTAAAAAATCCATTAAAAATATGGCTGTTATTTATATTTTGGGGTAGAAAAATGAATCAGATATAGATTGGGAGAAGTCTCGATGAGAAATGTGCTTTCCTTAAATAGGAAATTCGAACGTTGTACTGTAAAAGGAGATCTCCCATGGCCAAATTGGTAACGACATGCTTCGACTAGCTCAATGAATTCCATGGTGGAAAAATGATACGCGTTCGATTTAGTGGGAATTCTCCATCTAGGACAACTCTTATTAATTTCACTGTTTAAGAAATTAAAATCTGGAATAACTGTTCAAACGTGTATATTCATTAATAATTACATTTATAATAATAGATAGATAGATAGATAGATAGATAGATAGATAGATAGATAGATAGATAGATAGATAGATAGATAGATAGATATACCGGGTGTAAGAGAAAAATTGTACAAATCGTGTTACAGCATAATTGTCCATCCCACAAAAGATTTAATATCTAAAAACTACTAAACTAATTGAGTTTCTTTTTTCCAGGTTTTTATATAAAATGTTTAGCCATATCGATATTCAGCTAGAAAGAGAATAGGTTAAAATCGTTTTGTGCTAGTCCCACGATGCCCTCCCATATGATCATTGGTGAGAGGAAAAAGATCATTCAGACCTCCTTCAGTACTGGTGCCAACATTCATACACAGACTTCCATCTTCAAAGTTCATTCAAGAACCATCCAGAGAAAGATGAAGAAGTTTAAAAAAGAGAGAACAGTAGTGAGGAAAACTGGATGAGGAGGTCACAACGGGAAGAAGGATCATCATTTCAACTTAAAACTAAAGAGATCAATTAGAAAAGATCCAACTCAATCCATAAGACGTTTGGCACGTGAGAGAGAATTTTAAGCTATGATAGTTCAAAGAGCAGTGAAAAAAGACTTGAAAAAGAAAATCGTAAGTGAAGCCTGTCAAGCACCTTGTTACTCCAGGACAGAAAGTTAGATGTTTAGAGAGGGCGAAAATGTATTATTGATAATTTTGATATAAAAATACATTCTTGGCCATTTTACGATAAAAATATATTGTTGGCCATTTTAATATAAAAATGCATTGTTAGCCATTTTACAATGACCAACAATGTATTTTTATAGTAAAATGACCAACAATACATTTTTATATTAAAATGACCAACAATACATTTTCATAGTAAAATGACTAATATTGCATTTTTATAGTAAAATGGCCAACAATGCATTTTTGTATTAAAATGTCCAACAATATATTTTTATAGTAAAATGACCAGCAATACATTTTTATTGTAAAAGGGCCAACAATACATTTTCATAGTAAAATAAACAACAATATATTTTTATGATAAAATAAAAAGACATGGCATATATTGTCAAGAAAATAAAGATAAAAATTTGCTATGATTAATTTCATTATTTTATAAGGAGAAACAAGTTTTCAATGCTCGTTTGATCCGAATCTTGCCTGGAACTGTTGCTTTGAGAAACGGAATTCCAGGAAGCCGCTTCCCTGACTACAACAATCTTAACTTCTTCAAGTCAGTCTATGGTTAACTATTACTTTTCACATAGATCCGCCTAAATTGCGCGCCTTATATTTACCGCTCTCACAAAAGCTGGCTTTCAGCAGCTCTCTACCTTGAGTAGCTCTTGAGCCTTGTATAGGTGAACATTAATAAAAAAAAATGAAATAAAAAGTAAACTGCTCATTATCTAGAGCAATAATAATTATTTATAGAATTAAATGATTCATTTTATTTATTCGAAAATAATAAATGAAATATGGAATATTTACCTGAATAACTTTAATCTAATAAAGATATCTACCGAAGACGTAGAAACCCAACATATGAAACCCAAAACTTTGGTATATAAGCTTTAATCATAAAAAATATATATATTTATTTAAACAAGATATAATTATAAAACGGAATACACCTATATTTTCCAAACTTAAAAAATATATATATATTCGAGAACTAAGACTAAGTCCCGTCTTTGACACAGGAAATAACATTGTTACATTTTATCTGATTCTCAGGGCCAAAAGAATACTGAGAGAGTATAAGACGAAAATATTATGAAAAGAAAAAATAACCACAACATTCTACATATGTTCACATACACACACGTATAGGCGTACACATATACACGCATATACACACACGTAAAAAGAAGAAAAAAATCGAACTAAGACAAATAAAAGCGCATAAATTATTTTTGTAACTTAATAGAAAATAATGAAAATGAGAAATTACTAATATCTCCTGAGGAGTGAACTGAACGATGACAAAAAATTTCGTCTAAGAAACTCTGGAGTCGGAGTGCTGAATATAGCATCAATGAGCAAAGTGACAAATTTTGTATTAATCCTATTAATAATTTTATACGGACTTTTATACGTACAAAAACATCTTCAGCTGAAATGCGTTACATAACAGACACGAACTGCTTTTTTCTTTAAAAAAAAAAAAAAGAAGAAGAAGAAGGAAGATAAGTAAAAAAAAAAAAATAAACCAGAAAACGGAGTGGGAGAAACTTTGAAATCATATCGGTCGCTGTAGAATGCTACGACGTCCCTGGATCCAGATGGTGAGTTGACGAAATAGAGCAGGTGCCACGTTCTTTTCAATTACGCGTTCTCGCTTCACTTCTAAAAAAAAAAAAAAATCCTTTGCCACACGTTATACAGTGTTCTTTTATCCGAGCGGGTAACTGCTCTGACTTTCTCCACCGACACTTCTTTTGCCGTTTCCGCCTGTCGACTTCATCACTACCGACACATAAAACGCCTAGATGGACGGTCAGAAATTGATGACTGATCCCCCAAACACAGCTTTGTGGAGGCGCTGCCAAACACACACACACACACACACACACACACACACCCCACAAATAATTTATGTATTTTAACCTTTTGATTACTTTCTTCTTGGCAATATTTTTTTTTAAGCATTTCACCCCAATCAAAGCAGGAGTGTCACTAGTATACAAGGGGGTTACAGAGAGTGAGAGAGAAGGAGTAAAGAGGGGTGTTTGAGGAAAGGATATAGAAAGGGGGAGGGGTATCAGGATCAAGGCATCAGAAGATGTCAATTGACATTACATTTGAATATTTGAAGGTTATAGCTATCAGAAAAGCAAGTAGGAGGAAGGGAATTCCACTGTCTGGAAGTGCTAGATAAGAAGCTGTTGGAGTAGAAGAAACAGCTAAATTTAACCGTTTCGATAGTAAAAGGGTGGGACCGAGATGCCAACCTAGTAGCACGCTTAAATTCATGCAGTTTGAGAACCAGTGAAAGTAGCTTGTCAGAGCAATTGCCATGAAAATATTTGGAGAAACGACAGAGGGAAGCCACATCACGTCTGTGAGAAAGTGACTGTAGACGAGATGCCAGATCAGGACCTATCACATTGCATATCCGTCTCTGGATTTTGTCGAGGACCTCGAGATGGACAGCGGGGGCACCAGACCATATATGGCACCAGTATTCAAGGTAAGGACAAATGGTAGATTTGTAGATTTGAAGGATGGACTCAGACAAGAAAATCCTTCTGGCGCGACACAGAGAACCAACTTTGTCGCCAGAGATGTTTTTTATGTATTTTTCATACTAAAGTTCACTCAATACAAGACTCCAAGGCCACTCAAGGTAGAGCTTACTGTTAAAACGGTTATGATTAATAAGGAGTGGGATATGAATGAAAGAGAATCTGTCAGTGAGCAAAGATTATTAAGATGAGGAGACATAAGAATTGACCCTTTATTTGAAGAGTGGTCAGAGTTTGATTGATTGACTTGTTTTATACAGCTTATCAACCTTTTGCGTGTTATTTAAAGCCAGGGAATATTTTTAGATTGTAAGAATATTTTGGAGATAATAATTATTTATTGATACTCCTACTAATTAACCCCTACTTGGAGGAGAACAGATGGATTCATATTTTTCCCAAGGTTATTTGCATGTAAGTGAATATAAAGAACTCAACTGTAATTGGAACTCGGCTCTCCGACTTCCAATTCCGATCCATTATCCATTACAGCACCCACACATCAAAACTTAAAACACCTGGTATTCCCAAGCGGTCAAAAATCTAGGTACTAACTAGACTCGACGGTGCTTAACGTCTGTGATCGTACAAGGACCGGTATTTCAATGTGATATGATAATAGAGGCCTATAGGGTTCAGGAATCAATCCACGTTAGAGTCCGATACACAAAATAGCAGTCCTTGGGGAGGAAGCTGACTGAGTGGAACATTTTCCTTATATTTTTAATACGGGATAAATGAGGATGATTCGATTCCGTGGACGTAGCATGACGTGTCCTAAACGTAAAAAATGTCTCATCTGGTGAAACTAAAGAGTGAAGTTCATATGAACATTTACCATAAATGATGAGCATACGGTCACTGTTGACCTCTTAATAAAAAGCCATTGTGTTTTAATTCCAGCGGGCCACACACACACACATATATATATATATATATATATATATATATATATGTGTGTGTGTGTGTGTGTGTGTGTGTGTGTGTGTAGGCGGGAATGCCACTAGTATACAAGGAGTTAAGAGAGTAAAAGTGAGAGAAAAGACTGAATATAGGGAGGATAGAGGGAAGGACAAAAGATGAACGGGATTCAAGAAGACAGAAGATGGAAATTGACGTTCCATTTAAATTGTTAAAGATTGTAGTTATCACGGAAGCAAGTAAGAGGAAGGGAGTTCCACAAGGGGAAGTGCGAGAAAAGAAACTGTTCGAGTGATATTGACTGGTGGGACACTTTCAAATACTCTCACAGGGTGTAGAATGGTTTCGCAGATCCCCATGATACGTTGATGAAGCGTCTCTACATTATTAATGTCTGCTGCATAAACGAATTGTTTTAGGTGGTCCCAAAGATAAAAATACAAAGGTTGGGGTTGGGGAACGTGCAGGTCATGGAGCTGCCTTATCCACAGTGCATCGAGAATAATGTGACTAAAATTTGCTAGATCTTCATCATGCATGAACCACATGCGTCTTCGTATTAGCAAGAATACATCATCTATCAGGTATGGAAGTTCTCGAAATAAAGTTCCTGTAGATAGCTCCTGTAAGACGTGCTGGCAGAATATATGGACCTACCAGACAGTCACCTACAATTCTAGCATGAACATTATGAACATTATGAACAATATATTTTTATCGTAAAATTGAAGACATGGCATATATTGTCAAGAAAATAAAGATAAAAATTTGCTATGATTAATTTCATTATTTTATAAGGAGAAACAAGTTTTCAATGCTCGTTTGATCGGAATCTTGCTTGATTTTATGATTTTTTGCTGTGTCTTTAATACCCAGTAATTTTAAAAGTTACTCCAAAATTCGCTTGAGGATGAAATGGAACTAATGTCTTTAATTTAATTACAAAATTAAATTCGGAGCTTTTAGCTTCCATTTTTGAAACATGGTTAGAACTGTGTAGCGAAAAAACATTTTCAATCAATTAATTTATAATATTAATGCTCTGTAAAAATAAAAATATCTATAAGAACAACGGATTATATATGTTCATTTTTTATTTTATATATATATATATATATATATATATATATATATATATATATATATATATCAGTCGAAATTATACGACAGCATCGACAAGAACCTTTCAAGAATCTGAATCTAAAAATGCCTCCAAATGTACAAATTACTGTCCGACATTGTAGTGCAATGAATATCGACTCGAAATGAGAAATCGGATAGCAGAGTTCGAATTCTAGTAGGGTTCGTTACATTTACTTACGTGCAAATTGAGTTGGATAGCAGGATAGACTGGGCCCTGTAGTCTTGGTTAGCAACCAGTCTACCATAGAAAGAAACGGCAGTCTACTGCGGGAAAATTTCCTGCCTAGTCAGTCATGAATTGAAAGAGACATGATCGCCCAAGCGTGTCTTGCTTTTGCTATTTTATTGACTGCCTGTACGACAGGTTGTTACTAAAGTCAGGCTTTAGGCATTAGACGCGTTGGTTAAACGGTGTGACTGCAGTGTATCTTTGTAAATGTTCAACAAACTGTGTAGGTGTTTGCTGGGCGACTAACCTGTCTTGCTCCATGCCTAGGTGTTCAAAGCAGTAGATGATTTGAAAGTTCTTGTTTTGCTCGTCAAGAGCATTCTGCTTTCACGTAAGATTGTAGGGATGAGTTCATAGGGCTGTGATTTAATTGATTGTTGTCTTCAAAGATGTTAAGTATAGCTTTCAGAATCCGAGTGTAAACTCAAGGATTTTAGTTTATGTTCAAATGGTGGCAGCATTCACTAAAACCGCTTCTACAGTGGCTCGAAAGAATCTCCACTTGATGTTGTCTGGTAGATCTGATTTCCAGATTACATCCATTTTATTCAAGGCAACCCAGGCTTTAGCTATGTGAATTTTCACATCCTTTTCAGTAGCATCTCTTCGCTTTCAAGGTATGTTAAAAATTCCACAGATTTTATTGACTCACCTGAGATCGTCTGTCTACATTAATTTATTGATGCGGAATGCGGAACTCTAAAAACTTCAAATACCTTGTTGTACGGATTTTTTTATCATTTCACCCCAAGCAAGGCAATAAAGCTATTAAGACACAAGAGGTTACAGAGAATTAAAGAATTTGAGAAAAATATACTATTAAGGAGGGAGGACAATAAAAGATGAAGATTTAGGAAGATAACAATTGGTATTGCATTTAAATTTTTGAAGATCAAAGTTCATTGGGAAGCAAGAAGCTGGAAGCGAGTTCCACAAGTGAAAAGTTAGCATATAACTTACAGTTACATCTAGCCATGTAAACTGTGAAAGGATGACACCTTACCACCTATTTAGTACTGTGCTTAAATTCATAAAGTCTGGGTACGATAGAGTAAAGTTTATCAAACCAATTAACATGAAAGTATTTAAAGAAAAGACACAAAGAAACGACGATAGGGCGGTGAAAAAGTTTCCAAGACTTAGACGGACTTTTCATTTTTATTCGTTACTAGCAGCCATACCCAGTTGGACGAACAGAAGAAGTCTCTTCAGTTAAAATGGAGCAAAAACAGCATCATGTTTAGATGTAACAGAGTCTATCTTCTTCAACTACTTTAAAGTACTTTCATTTTAAAAAAGCATTTTGAATTAGGCAGTTACTTATATAACAGAAATAGTCTGTATTTATTCAATCGAAGTGAGCCGAGGACATGAAGGGGTAAAACAGGCAACCAGTAAAAATCGCAATTTTTCGCTATTTCCGCGGGTTTTCACTATATAGGTAGATTCAATTATCAAATTAAATGACTAATAAACATTTGTTGGCTACTATTGACTAAAGTTTATATTAGATTGCTTGAAAATTTTAGTTTAAAATTTGTGTTGAAATCGATTTATGTTGAAATCGATTTTTCGTTTTTCACGGTTTTTCGCTAAACGTACAGACGTAGAAATAAAGAAGAAGGTCTCATTGAGCTCGTCATGATGTAAGTAACCTACATACCGAGCTTGAACGAAATAGGAGGAAAAAAGTTGAATACATCGATTTTTGATTGGCTTTATTGATTATTGAACCTATCTCTTACATTCCACACACACACACACACACACACACACACACACACACACATATATATATATATATATATATATATATATATATATATATATATATAACAAATGTTTCGGAGATAAAGAAATTGAACATCGGTTCGGACGGGAAATTGTTATTTTGTTCAACCACAAAACCTCAATATTAACCTTGGATCTCGAATCATTTTCATAAATAACCAAATTCATCGAATCTTGAATCTCATTTGGATGTCAGGCATGGTACCTAACTTGTTTAGAAGTCTATAAACTAAGTTGTTTTTTAAGACATTTTTAAATAAATGCTCTGTTTATAATAAACAGTATTAACAACATATGAACATTTCTCGGACATTCAGGACGGTAAATGTTGTTTGATACTGTTTATTATAAACAGAACATTTACTTAAATATTTGTATCTATAAAAAGAATGTATAAACATAAAAATGTCTTAAAATAACTGTCGGACTTTGTCCATTTCATAATGTGACACTAAATTATATACAATCGTTTCAGCTCAGTGATTACAAAGAGCTTCAAATGAATAAATTCTCAAGGACTTTCATCAGATTAGATATACATAAATTTTATCTTTTTGTTATTTCTCCTAAACCCCGTTCCGATGTTAGGCGTGGGGGGGGGGATACAACCAGATGGCTTATCAAGACGTAGGCGATCATGGTTCTCCACAATTTCCTCTGCTGCTCCTACTGCGACCTTCTGCCGTCTTCTTCTTTATGTGCAGTGTCTCCTCAGGATGTAGGCGATCACAGCTCTCCACAATTTCCTCTACAACTCCTACTGCGACCTTCTGCCGTCTTCTTCTTTATGTGCCGTGTCGCCTCAGGACGTAGGCGATCATGGCTCTCCACAATTTTCACTACCACAGATTAAATATATAGCCGCTACAGAACGAATAAAAAAACCACACGACTTGAAGACTTTCAACGGCAATTGCAGCTAAAATGTATGGTACGTGTAACTAAAAGGGAAATATTGCTATATGTCGACTTTCCACATGATACTAGACAAAAGGTTAGGAAGGAAACTCCCATCAATACTGGAAAGGGTGATAACAATCAATTTGCTGAAAAAAAACTCTCTTTGAGAAAAAGATTTTATAAATTTTAACGGACAATAACGCTGACTGTTTGTTTAATAAATGCCGAATACTTCCTTATAGGGAAACGGCTATCCCTATCATTACCAGATGTCGAATAAATCTTTTATGTCAAGTTCAAAATTGTAAGGATATTTACTAAAATGAGGTTTCCAGTATTTTCAACCATTTATATGTGCCGTGTTCCTTCAACATGTGAACGATCATGGCTCTCCACAATTACCTGTCGTTCGTAGCTCTTCATAAATTTTGTCTTTTTGTTATTTCTTCTAAACCCCGTTACGATGTTGGATGGTGGTGAGGGGATACTATCTGATGGCTTATCAGGACGTAGACGATCATGGCTCTCCACAATATCTTCTACTATTCGTACAGCGACCTTCTGTCGTAATCTTCTTTATCTGCTGTGTCCCATCAGGACATAGAAGATATGGCCTTCCAAAATGTCCTC